CAGTCATTTTCAATTACTTATACTTTTTTTCCTGGTGTTAAGCAAAAGTGATGGTTATTGTCAGAAAGTTGGTCTCCAGCACCCTACCGGTGCTGAACTATGGAATACCAAAAGCCATCGTAGACAGGATACATTATGTATCCGCTAAAAAATGAATAGTCCAGCTTAGTCATGAATAAGACAGAGTGCTGTTACGTTGTGTGTCCTTAACCCAGAAAAACTTTAAAGTAGCAATAGATTTTGCAAGAAGTCTGTAATTCTCTACCTATTTTAATGCGATAAAGCTCACTCAGTTTTTTAAAGTATGCTCTACAAGTTAACCATCTAGACATTTCATAGCATTAATTCTTTAAATATGATAACCTGTCTATTTTGAATGAATTTATTCAGACAAACTGTCTATTTCAATCAACTGAAGTTTCGACAAACAATTATAATTATTAAATATAAAGTACCTATGTAGCAAATTCATGGAGCATTCTTCGACATAAATGAGCAATCAGAGTGAAGAAACAGGAAAAAAGCAATCCATGCCGCATTAAAATACCTCTTGGTAAATCCATTGCTTCCCTTTCCTGAGCTACGTACTGTGACGTGGCACTTTGTGCACGTCACAAAAGAGAAGGGAAAAAGGCCAAAATAGAAACTACACCGTGAGGTCCGCAAGGCAACCTAACTATTACGTCAAGCGTGGACTGAATTTAGCATATAGAATGTTTATTAATTCCCTTCGGGGTCTGTATTTCAAATGTTATTAGGGGTGATCGGTCCCGTAAGGGAACCGATCCAAATTTTTCGACTGATATTGCTAAAATGCCAGATATCAGCATTACGGGAACCGATTTTGTTGGGCAAAGGCTCATTGTAAAGCAAAAAAAAAAAAAGAAAAAATATTGGACCTGACATTTTTCGCCCACGACATATACCGGCAGATAATTCAAGTTATTTCATCGTAGCAGACGAAAAAGCGCCAACTTGGCGTCAATACAAATGATGTAGTAATGCCTTTTATAGGCACCGACGTGGCATACGATGGTTTACCCTATTGCGGATTCCACGATTACGCCTGATAAGACCCTAGTGTTCCATTCCAGACTATATAATATGTCGTGGACGCCTTTGTTGAGCCTCTAAAGGCACTAGTATGGAATCTCCACTATGGATACTAAGCCTAAGACTAATAAGGCCCTTAATTTTATCGCAGCTACTCGACTAAATTTCTGCACGGGTCTTTCTTAAACGAGAGATGGCAGCTTGCCTATCACGAGAGCCTTTCGGAAGAAGTGTACACTTTTTAACGAGTTCTTCATGACTGTGTGCTCGTTTAAGATGGCGAGCAACTTTCGTTTGTAATTTATGATAATAATAGCAGAAATATTTCTTTACTTTGCCTTTAGAGCAGTCTGCTGCTTCTACTCTTAAATTAATATCGTCACAAACCGAATATCCTGGTACGTTGAACGATGAAAATAAATTTATAATTGGATTTCCTTCAATAGCATGTACCTGAACAGTTAGGTTGGTTGTCATTTTACCAAAGATGCTTTTTGCACAGGTTTTTGGCTTGACAATTTTAATTTTGTCCTGGACTACTTCAGAGCTAACTACCCTGGGTTTCGTCTTTGCAGGTGATGTCTTCTTATTTGAAGATGTTCCTAGTAATGATGGATTGGTTTCAGGGCTTGTTGCCCCCTTTCCCAAATATCCAATATCAGTAAAAGTATTTTTGAAAGTACCCTTAGACTGAGTCGTTTTTCCTTCAGATTCACTTCTGCTCGAGTCTCTCAATGAATATTTATCACCATTGCGTCTGTTAGCGCAAGTCTTCGTGATGTTTTACGTTTCTTCATGGTGATCTTCAATTTCCATAATTGATCCACAATAGAATCACCATATGTATCCGAATTCATTGAGATATAACTTTTATCGGGGCAGCTATGTTTAGATGTATCAGCATCTTTATTTATTGATATATGTTCTATATGTTGTGTGACGTACTGGGCCGCGAAAATGGTCCAGGGTCTCGCAAGAACGGCTATCACTAATACAGGGGTCAAAGGGGGCTCGAAAAGAAAAGGGAACACTTGATGGAATAAGAAAGAATATAATTAATAAAGAATCGTAATACGGAGAATCGGTGGTACTGAATACAAAGCAAGAGTTAACGGGAACAGAAAAAGAAAAGAAAAGAAAAGACGGCGGCAGATTTATGCACGCTCTATTACGTTCGGTGCACGCTACACGCGTGGGCTCGCGCGGGTGCACGCGGCCTCGGGAGGATTAAAAGGAACTCGGTTGGGGGAAGGGGCTCCGGGGAGGGAGGGGGAAGCTATGGGCGCCAGCTACTTGTTCGGCGTAGCACCGGCGAGTGACCCCGAAAGGTCCTCGTTTGTTTACTATACGGGACTGAGAGGGCTAGCGGAGGGAGCGGTGAGGGGATCTCAGGGAGGAAGGTTCCCGAACGCAAAAATGGCCACTTTTAACCTCGGTTACGGGATGGTAAGGGTAGGCGGTGGACGAGGGAGGGTACGGAGGGTTCCCAAAAAAGGGACGCAAAAATACTAGGTCTAGGGGCGCACGCAATATACCACGGGCCTCGAGCGTAGGGCGGAGAAAGGGGGGAGGGAGAAAGGAATAAACGGCGAA